TCCCTACTTTCTCCCTAATAATAAACAATTTAAAGTATTCTTTTATTTTATTTCGAATTTATTTCTTATCAATTTATGCTTACATTACAGTACTTCGTATTATCGTGTGTGACCAACAATTTGTTTCCAGGGACAATTTGTTTTTACATCAAATAAAAAATGTAACATCAAATTACTAGAAATACGATTACACGCGATCGTGTAATTAACATGCTCGTTACTCGATGCTGCATCCACTTCTGAAATCTCATTGATCCGAAGCAGCGAGGTGCCGATTATTTTAATAAAAATTTCGAATTAACCCACGTGCCCTAGATAGTCTCACGCGGGATACCCGATAGGGAAAAAGAAAAATAAAACTAGCACAGAGAAGCGTCTACCTGTGTGTTCCATAATCGCTTTAGGACTCTTTAGAGCCACGAGGAGTGCTACGACTCCCTTTCGAGCACCCTCTGCCGAGTGCAAATACGAATCCCACCTCGATTACTTCCACTAACGACTTTCGCTACCGGAAAGTAAATCCGAGACAGCGCAGGAAGCGGAGGGAGAGTCTATTAGATCTGTCCGCGTCCTCCAGGCAGACAGACCGAGTTAAGCTCCCGCTGAAATCGAGTTAAGTACCCCGATACTTGAAGCACCTTGACCGTCGGAAATTGCTCGAAGAATTCGATCTGCTTGAATAACTTAAACAACCCTATTATCCGGTGAACATCAAATTGCCTCTGGCCAATCCAGCTGATAAAACAAATTTTGTTTTTCTCCATTCAAGTACCTCGATCATCAAAAGTTACTTCGGCAGTTTAAGGAACTTCGAGAGAAAGAATAATTCGAGTACTCGACGAATGAATTTTATTGTATCCTTTTCCTTTTTTCTTTTCCCATGGTGTGGTTTTAAAGAATTATAATTGGTTCGAATACTTTAACTAGTCTATTCAATTCCTGCAATACTATTGTATTTTGATTACGCTGGTATTTTAACAATTTATCTATAGTTAATCTATAATTAATTCCTCTCTAGGATATTTTTAAATCAAATGATTTGAATATCTTATGTACTTTATTAAATTTCTGCGATTTTAGTAGCTTGATTATTAAGCAGAGATTAATAATCTAATACTTTTCTTCGAGTCGAGTCGGATTATCTCGATATTTCGAATATTAATATACGCCAATACTTCTTTTGCAACCAGTACGGTACAAAACGTGGAATCACAAAATTGTTTGACGAAAATTTAATATTCGAATTATTTCAATATCCACGATATAATAATCCAATTCTATTTTTCGATTATTATCTCGAATGCTTTCATTTTCACCATACCGATATCCCCATTTTCCTGATCAGCTGAGATTCAAAATACAAAATCCCAAAGATCTCAATCAAAAATAATATTCGGATTACTTCAATATCGACAATATTCCAATATTTCAATTATCATCTCGATTATTCTAATTTTCACCGCACCGATATTCCAGTTTTTCCAACGAACCCAAATACGAGATACGAAATTCCAAGATGGCGCGATAGAACTTAAAATCCAACGCGTGCAGGCCCACACTGAGCATCGCGTCAAGGGTGGTCCCCTCGCCGTGCCCTTCGACGCGTACATTCGCGTGTGCATTTTCGCAACGCTGCAACGGGCAGGATGTCGCGGAAGGGGTTGTGTTCTCGCACCGGTAACGCGATCAATAAGATAATTGAAGACTTTCTCGACAATGCCGGCGGAAGGGAGCAATTTTGCCATCTCCCTTGTACTTGAGCAAGGTCATTGTTTTCGAGGGGATTCTCATTTTGCTCCTAAGCACCATCCGCATGAACGATTATAATTGTATCCTGCTGGCCTAAACGCACGCTACTCGCCTATCGCCCGCGCCATAAACGAATAAATCGAGGAGAAAGCCGACCTAAACGGTGGGCAGGACCATGACTCATAAATTGCAAATTCGATCGATAGAACGATGACGATGGAGTACGCGTGAAACAAGAAACAAGAAACAAGAAGTGTACAAACTTCAATCTATATCGTATATTACTTTATAATCTCTGATTGGTAACATATACATAGAAAAGGAGAGAAAAGAAAAAAAAAATTCAACCGTCTTTCTTAAGTTTTATAACTTCTTTCGTCGCGATAAGTATAAAAAATAGTACATTGATTATTAAAACTATGCGAAATTACATGTTTAATAAACACGATATTCGTATCGAGAAGAAAAATATATAAATGTTCATATATCGATATTGAAGGGATCTACCTTAATATGTCGTAAGCTTGTACGAATAACAAATTAATCTCTGCCCGCAAGACGCACAGGCGAGAGTGAAAAACTTCGCGAAACGAGACTACACGCTCAGTTAATCAACCATGAAAACGACCTTTTAGGGACAAGGAACAACGACTTGGCAACGAGGCGTCAAACTCTACGAAACCGATCGAAAAACCGAGAATGGCGGTCGCGCTGTGTATATCCGCGAAGAAATAGTCCAACAGTAATGGCGAAAAATAATTGGGACGACTGTGGATATTCGAAGGACGAGCACGTGCGACTACGGTCACATGTCTTCCTTCGGTACGTGAGAGTGCAGCGACGCGGTGTCGAGAGTTGAAACTTTTCTCCTGGTATGGGCATAACGGTATCGAGGAATTTTAGAGACATTTATCAGGGGAAATTAAAGACAGAATGGTCGGTTTCGTTAGGAAGGTACATCGATTACAAATTCTTGTAAAACGATGATGAAATTGCGCAATAAATAAAACTGTACGGTTTAAATGTTAGGACGTTTCGAAACTTTCATTTGCCTCGCGAACCTATGGCGTAGAATATAAATAAACTCGATGGCAGTAACACGAACTATTAACAAAACAAATAATACGTGGTTCGTAACGAACGTAACAGTTAATGAACACTTTTGTCTGATCTGCTTAACAAGCATGCGAACACGCAGCGCGAAACACGTTGCATACGTATAGTACGAACAGAGAGAGTGCTTACACGTGCGTGAACGTGCGTACAAGGGAGTATAAGTGAAAAGTGACCGGGTCACGCCACTCGATATCGAACGTAATTACGCGCTTGATCGATTTGAAAAATTGTTGACGTTCGGCGCAGCTGAAGCCGGCAATGCGTCCGTGAAACGTGTATACGTCGTTTTTCTAAACGGATTACGAATGATTCATATCCTCGTTATAAGACAATCGCATAAAATTGCACTGATTCATACATGCATGTATAATATCACTGGAGTAGAGTATTGGAAACTTACTCGATTAACAATTTTTACACCGATTAACCGTCTTTTATTATGCTACACATAACGATAAAATATATCGAATCCATTGCACGTTGCACACGTTTGAAATTTCGCGAAGGCTTGGTGTAAAAAACGAATAAACCGACTGTAGGGCGGCGACACCCGGCGTAGTCCCCACGAGGGTGGGTTTTCACGAAAGCATGCTGATAAAACCGGCGATCGATAAGAAGGCAGGGTGTACGTAGTAATATGTGCAACATCAATGAAAAACTATAGGACAGAGATAAAAGGACTCACCATTTGAAATTGCTCCAACAACTCCTGCCGGTCGTCGATCGCAGTGGCCATGTTGTTCGAATATATAATCCTTCCGTCTTTCCTTTCTCTACAGTCCTTGCGTGGCCCTTTTCACTTCCTCTCTTCGTCCTTCTACCCGTTGTCCAGTGTACGGAGTACACACAATTCGATAGGAAAATGTGTAACACGAGTCGGTAATTTTCACCCGGTACACGCGGGTAGTTACAAAAACGGTTACTTGAGGCGTTCTCGCACCTCGCGTACGTGTTTCTGGTTACGACGCGGTCACGAAGCAGCCAGACACCGCGGGAACGCGTCCCACTATTACGGAGTCGCAACGAATACTGAAACGCCGTACACCAAACGGAGCGCGCGCCAGTCAGCCGAGTACTGGCGAGAACGGCCGAACAAATACGAAGGGATCGCCGTCTTGACACTTTAGGACACATTCGTGCTATTCTTCAAAAATCACCAGATATAATAAACGTTGCGATTCTAGTTAATCCATTTGACACACGAACAATCCTTTATTGACTCTTCTTTGGTTTTTGAGTTTCATGTTTCTTATGTAAACAAATTTTTAATAATTTCGTGTGAAAAATGCTTAATATTAATCGACTCGACGTTATTCCCTTGATAATATTTAACAAACTTTTTTCGTAAATATGCCGTGACACGCAAGTATTATTAAATTCTCACATTTTATATTCCAATTTGTATTTTTCAGCATATATTACACCCGAGGGAACAAAAGTATCTCTTACTTGGAACTATTCTCTTCCGCCTTCAAAGCGTTACAGTTTTAAAAACCTGAGGGCGGAAGTTGTCAAACGAGCGCCTCTTCGATCTGACAGGAGACATCTTCTCTCTGTGAAGTATTTCATTCGTCACAGTTTCGTTCTTTTTTCGAGAACGAACCATAAAATACTTTTTGATTTGTCACTTTAAATCGTTTTATTCTGGTGGACCGAAATTCTTGATGAAAAAGGACGCTCATTATACGAGAGGTTAAGTTCCCTTTACTTTTACATCGTATTTTATAACGAAATTGTTTCAATGCGCACAACAAAAATACAAGTGCCACGCGCTATAAAATCGTAGTCTAGAGTAAAATATTGCATACTTCCATGTACAAGAGATCTTAATATGATAATTCGTAAGATAAAACCAGATCGCTTAAACAGAGATATATCGTTCTGTTTCGATTTTGCAGACCACATTCACACATCAAATTCCCAGCTACACAAAATGTAAAAAAGGATTGGACAAAAAGAAGGCAACGATGCTTGTTTACCATTTTTTCTATTAACGTTATCGCATGTGGATAATGTTAATGATATTCTTGCCACAGTTTCGTATCGACACGAATTAAAATATCATAAAAGAATATCTAATTGAATAAGCATAAGTTGGTTGGACATTGAACAATGATTATTTTTAACAAAGTCAGAGCGATCAAAGGACTTTGTCTTTAAAATAAATTAAAACACGATAATAAGGTATACTATTATTAGTCATCGAAAGTATATAAATAACGATGATGAAGAGATCGCGTTTAAATTGCAAAAAGGTAAAAGGGAGGCTGATGAATCGCAAGTATTAAACTTGACAGAAATGTACAATGAAACGCCATGGTAGTGAATCATTTTTTACATACGCAATAAGAGACATACGTACATTAGGAGCAAAAAGTTCAGGTTGAGTCATTCGCTTAAATTGCTTGATGCGACGTGGAGTCTGTTTCCATGCTTGATTTGATATTGAAATGCATCGCTGAATGGATGAACAAAGCAATATGCATAATTCCGCAAAACATTTACGCGTAATATTTAAATTAGTAACGTTAAATGTCACGTATTAATTACTTGTATTATTCAACATTGCTAAAATAATGGATGTTATTACTATGGAAAGTACACAAAAGGGAAGCAAAACAATGTTTGGAAAACGAAACAACTATTATACAAAATCGATTAGTACAAAAGAATACTGAGAGGATATACTTTATATATTTTATACGTAACTTCAACGCTCCTGGTGAAGTTTGATATTCAACTGGAAATCATATTCGCGTTCTAATCTTTATTCTAACGCCTGATATATTACTTTTGCCGAAAGCTCTGTCCTACACAAACACGAATCTTCTTCCGACCTGGCTTGCTCAACTTCCCGTTGTGCGTCATATAAACGAGAAATTCATGTCTCCCCCAACTTTCATGTTCCGCCGCTCTTTATTGACATTCTATCTCTCCCACCGGTTACACGAATACGCTTCCACGGACATCGACCCCTTTTAAATAATGTTACGTCACGAATAGCAACGACATTATTTGATAGAAAATTCTTAAATGTCTAATGCATTTTCCAGATGCAACAATGCAACGTCAAGTTACTTGAACATAATTTGTAAAATATTTACTTTCTGTTCTTGCTATATTACCATTGCGAGTATGAGACGATAAAAGAAAAAGCAGTATATGAAATTGAATGTACATGTACACATATACATTTAATATATTTTATCGGAAATCAAAGTGATATAATCTTACAAATAAAGGCTACTTTAACACTACTTAGCCCTAGGTTACATTTACTGTCTCATAAATATTTCTGTCTAAAATGATTTGTGTATAAAGGAAATAAACAATGTATCTATGTGTTATACAGTAAAATAGTTATTTACGCAAATGTCGATGACGAAGTATTATATTTGTTTGGAAACTTTCCTTGTAAAGAAATTAGCTTTAAGAACAATCGAGAAACACAAATAGACAAAAATGTAATAAATACAAGAAGATACACGATAATGGTTCTCTATCGACTAAATTTTTGGTGGAATTATAGGGTTTCTTTTTTGCGAGGTGGAGTTCGGAATAACTAAAACACGTTTAACATTAATGAGCGTCTATACTGATCTTTCTGCATAATACACAGAAGAAGAAAAAACAAAGAAATAAATGAGTTTAATATAAAAATCGTTACTAGTAATGGTGCATTAGAAATTAAGTAACACTTTCTGTCTATATATCATTTGAATAAAAGGTCGTTCCAACTAATAGTAAGTAGTCATCATATACAAATTGAACAAAATTATGCCGACATTTCAAAATGATGTAAAATAAATATTAATTGGCACAAAAATAAACTACTGTCATGAAGAAGCAATTTTGCAATGATATCACAAAATAGAAATTTCAAATGAAATTAAAATTCACTTGATTATACCTTACATAAAATTTATAGCAGCGTCTCCTTTAAAAAAAATATCTTTACCAAATCAAATAAGAAAATGAATTACACATTAAAATAAATATTAGATACACTTGGAAATTAAATTGTGTTATATGTAAAACTAATGACCTCTAATTATAACTTTAATTTACAATTTGGTCGAAGCATAATACTTCTGTTCCTTTTTGTTTAATAATACTCCTCTCGTATGGATTCAGTGATTAATCAGCTATTAAGTGCAAGTTACGTAAATATTTCACTGTAAGAAGACTCAAAATCAATACTAGACACTTTGTGCTTATCGAGAAAATTAACAAAGATGAATTTCTTTCGTTATAATGATTAGTATAATTTCTTGGAAATGCGTAGGCACTTGCCTCGTATTACGCTGAACGGGTGATCAGTATTCAACATAGTGTACACTAATATTTTATGGTAAAGTACAATGTTCAATTTTTCTTTCATGTCATTTGTCACAATGTATTTTTAATGATAGTGTACCACCTAATGAAGCACACAAATTTATTGTTCGTCTTTTTCCTTTTCTTCTCTTTTTTTTTTTTTTTACGTTTATATCTCTTCATAAAAAATGATTCTAAGTACCTTGTACAAAATACAATAACTAATATACGTACATGTGTATACATATACATATACACATACATATGTTATTTTTATTACGAAAAAAAAGAAATGAAATTCATACCTCACCTAATCGAAACGCGCAAACACACTATCGTTAGAAATTCACTGTATTCCCGCGTATCCAGGAGCAATAATCAAAGAGATTATTGAGCCTTTTTGTATCTGTACAAAAATATATGTGTGTACACATAATGTCTCATCGATTCGGTGACCATACAGTCTGTTTTAAACGAAACATGTAACATATTAATCGTGGATGATGCATAATACTTCGGTATTTCCTTATCGCTACGATTATCTTAAAATGAATTCTGTTAACCAATTCGTCGAATAATCGCTACTTCTTTACGCTACATCGTCTAAAAATGGAACATGAAAATTCGTTAACAAAATTCATCCGTTATGCTAACATCAACGATTCGCATCCTATGTTTCGATATGCAAATGTTTAAAATGTTTAAAACACACTGTGCGTCGTGTCATCCCACACATAACATGCATTCATATAGTTTTGGTTCATATGAAAACTCAATGATTGATATTTGTTGTCTTTAACAAGTAATTATACAAAATTTCTTGTGCTGCTAGTACAGCTTCGCCGACAAACCACAATAAGGGTACTTTTTTTATACATAATGCAGATTTGTTTTTGCATATCATGCAAAAACTACATTAATAGATAAAGACACGCACATAACACATTTGCACAAGAGTAAAACGGATCAATTTTTATACACATAAGAAAAAAAAGCTCAACTCAACAATCATATTAAAAAGTAACTAGAGAACGTCATTATCAACTAATATACGAAGCACGGTTTTGTACCAGAGTCAACATTAAATACAGAAATTACATCTCGTAATCTATATTTGAGAGCGATGGATTTCTTGCTTTTTCTTTAAAATTTTATTTTATCGAGAATGAGATCCATATTTGTAACATTTATAACATTTATAAAATGATTTATTACGGAATATACCTTATCGTTAGCGTAAGTATCATCTTCGTAACATTTAGCGATTTTATAATACTTTAATATACAAAGTAGTAAGTAAGCTTTAATTATACTATATCGATGCATTACATTATGCGAATGTTAATAATAGAGGAGAGTTAGCAATTTTAAAGATTGAACTCGAACTAACGTTAAGTGTATAAAATGAAAGGAATAGCACACCAAGGTATAAATCATCAACCTACGAAATATTACAAAATGTAATACAGTCATAAGAAGGATTAAAATAAATATTTTCATCTATTAACCGGTTGAAATCATAAAATTAATATTTTATAATACTAGAAATAGAATTTGCGTTATAAAATGTATATTTTTTTTAGGCCATTTGGAAGTTCTTCACTGAAATCAACAAAACCATACTATAAAACAATTACCTAAATATTCGTGACAAGAAACATGAATAGACATAAGAATCAAATGAGTTTGCAACTCGT